TGTAAAAGACCACATTCTTAGGATGAGCAACATGGCTTCCAAATTGAAGCAAAAAGATTTGGGCATCTCAGATGACTTTCTGGTCCATCTGGTTTTGTCCTCATTGCCAAAGAACTTTGACAACCTTGTTGTCAACTACAAAATAAGTACAGAGAATTGGAATATTGAAGAGCTCATCTCTAATTGTGTGCAAGAGGAGGAAAGACACAAAGAGACCAATGGTGACTCCATTAACCTTGTCAAAGATAACAAGGAAAAGAGCCACAGGTCACCCTCCTCAAAAGAAAAACAGCCTCAGCATCTGCCTCAGAAACAACAGTTTACAGTTGAGACAAGATCAGTGTCTACACTGCAAGAAGACAAGACATTCCAAGAAAGATCATCCTGACTTCCTGACAGTGATCATGGCAAAGAAAGGTGAGAACATTATTACATTTGTAAAGAATCTCATTATGATTGGTTATTCTATATCCACATGGTGGATTTATTCTGGAGCAACTATTCATGTGTGTAATTGTTTAAAGGGATTCCGTTCAATGAGGACTACGCAAAGAAGTGAAAGATCCATTAGAGTTGCCAATGGAGTTGAAGCAAAAGTTAAAGCTGTTGGAGATCTTCGCCTAGAACTCGCGAATGGCTTCACACTTTTACTTCCAGATGTTTTTATGTCCATTCTTTGCAAAGAAACTTGATAATAAGTGTATCCAAATTGGATTCTGATAGATATGAAATGGCAAATGTGAACTATGGGATAATAATGAATGTATTGGTCTTGTGTTGCAAGATCAGCTTTATTTGTTATCTCTTTCTGAGAATGTGAATGTTGTGTCCTCGTTGACAAAAGAAAAGAAAGCGAACTTCTGATGTCTCATCGAAATTATGGCACTGTTGTTTATGCCATATTTCGAGGGGGAGAATTGAGAGACTGGTTAAGAATGTAGTTCTTCCTCCATTGGAGTTCTCAGTTTTAGAACGATGCATACAATGTATAGAATGCATCGGTGCCCAAAACACCGTATGAGCTATGGATCCTCCGTGTGTGGGGGAGTCCTGCAAAGGATAAAGTATTTAACCCAAAACAGTAAGCTGCCATTTTATTGGCTATTCTGAAAGATCAAAGGGTCATCGTTTCTACTGTCCAAACAGTTATACAAAGTTTGTAGAAATGAGACACGCCGTCTTCTTGGAAGACGAAATGATTAGAGGGAGCTCGGTAATTCGAGAAATTGATCTTGAGGAGAGGCGGGTGTCTGTACCCGCTCCGTCGACTCAGGAACCTTTCTTCTCTCTACCTGCTAATGTTGTGCCAGCAATGCATGCCGTTGCGGTACCAACACCTGTTGTTATCTCTCCTGTGCCAACAATGAATGAAAGTGAGGAACCTGTTCTACAGGATTCAACAGAAATTATTGCCACATCAGAGGAGGAGCTGCAACAGCCTCAAACAGATAATGTGCCAGAATAGGAGGCCCCTAGAAGGCCTGAAAGAGTCGCATATGGAGGATGATCCCATCTCATATGAAGAGGCCATGAGAAGCCATGAAAGATGAAATGAAATCAATGAAATTAAATGATGTCTGGGATTTAGAAGAAATTCCTAACGGAGCCAAAACAGTAGGCTATAAATGGGTCTACAAAACCAAATATGACTCTAGAGGGAATATAGAAAAGTTTAAAGTGCGACTCGTGGCAAAAGGCTTCACGCAAAGAGAAGAGATTACAATGAGACATTTTCTCCAGTCTCTTGTAAAGATTCCTTCATGATTATAATGGCACTAGTGGCACATTATGATTTGGAATTACATCAAATGGATGTAAAAATGGAATTTCTAAATGGTGATTTAAAAAAAAAGGTATACATGGCACAACCGAAAGGTTTCGTCATGAAATGAAACGAAAATATGGGATGCCGTATAAAGAGATCCATTTATGGGTTAAAGCAAAGCTTCGAGACAATGCTACTTGAAGTTTGATGGAACAATAAAGAAATTTGGGTTTTCAAGAGAATGTAGAGGACAACTGTATTGATTCAAAGTTAAGAATGGGAGACTCATTTTCCTAATTCTGTATGTAGATGACGTTCTACTGGCTAGTAGTGATGTCAATCTACTGCAGGAAATAAAGAAATTCTTGTCCTCAAACTTTGACATGAAAGACCTCGGTGAGGCTTCATATGTTTTGGGCATAGAGATTCACCGAAATAGAACAAAGTATGCATTGGGATTTTCTCAAAAGGCATATATATAGAAAAGGTGTTGAAGAAATTCAATATGTACAGATGCAGTGCTACACCTGCTCCTATAGTCAAAGGCGAAAAGTATGGGGCATCGCAATGTCCCAGAAATTAGTATGAGCTCAATAAAATGAAAACAAAGCCATATGCGTCAGCTGTAGGAAGCCTACAGTACGCGCAAGTGTGCACACGACCTGACTTGGCATTTGTTACCGGGTTATTTGGCAGATTTCAAAGTAATCCAGGCCTAGAGCACTGGAAATTGGTATAGAAAGTCTTGCGTGATTGCAAGGAACAAAAGGCCTCATGATGTCTTACAGAAAAGCAGAATCGCTCCAGATAGTGGGGTATTCGGATTCTGACTTTGCAAAAGATAATACAAAGATAACATCGGGATACATGTTTACCCTGGCAGTAGGAGCTATTTCATGGAAAAGCTCAAAACAGACTACCACTGCAGGGTCTACCATATATGCCGAGTTTATAGCATGCCATGAGGCTACGGGGCAGGTGAACTGGCTAATGAAGTTCATACCCGGTTTTAAAGGTGGTTGATAGTATTGAGAAACCACTAAAGTTATACTGCGATAAAGAACCCACAGTAATGTACTCTCACAACAATTAGTCAAGTGGTGCTGCCAAACACATTGACATAAAGTACTATGTTGTGAAAGACAAAGTCCGGGATCAAACAATCAGTCTCGAGCACATAAGAACAGAAAGGATGCTCGCGGATCCGCTCATGAAAGGCCTACCTCCCAACATGTTCAAGGAACATGTAGCATGCATGGGTTTTAAGGGAAGCCTTATGAATCCTGGACTATAGGGCCCAAAAGTTAAAGTATCTGTTTCTGAATAGAGATGTGTATAGTGGCTGTCGAATCCATCGGTAATTAACCGTGACGATGAAACATGCTCTATATGTAAATCTGTGATGGAATAGAAAAAGCTAAAGGAAATAGTGAGATCAAGGGGGAGAATGTTAGATGGATCTCCCTCCCCTTGAGCCCAACGGCTCAAGGGGGCCTTGACCCGCGCCCTGATCGGGGGCGCCCAGCCCAATGGCTGGTGGGCCCCCGTCACACTGTGCCATATAAAGAGGGGTGGAGGACGGGACGGGATAATACACACAAGGAACGAGGTTCGTCGCCGCTGCCACTCCAACCCATAAACCCTAACCGATCGAGGGGGCGCAGCCAGTGACGGGAAGTCCACCGCTGCGCCACACCTCGTCGTCGACACCGTCGCTGCTGCAACCGCATCACCGCCATCGGAACCGAGCACATCGTCGCCGCCGTCCACGTCAAGCCCGCGACGACAACGACGATGGCCGGCCGGACTTCCTCTTCTTCAACAACGACTGGTCACAACCCTAAATCCTCTCACTCCCTCTTTGTTCATTCATCTATTGTTGTTCATCCATTGCAAATAGAACCACCCGACTAGATCTAAACCTAGGTGATCCAATAGGAAACCCTAACACTCCCAAATGGCGATGTGGTGTATTAGTGTTCTTTTGGTTTTAGTTGTGTTGCTGAATGATGGATAGAGATTTACTAATAGACTGGAATAATGTTATTTTGTCTAGTTTGGTTTTCTTTTTTACAAAGTGCTAGTTTGTAATAATTGGCTGTAACTGTTTTGAGTAAAAACCGGGATGTTATTTCATTCCATTATCTAAAAGTTGTGTTGCTGGGGTAGTATTTAGCCTGGGCTGCTGCTATGTTTTCTGAGTGGTAGATTGTTGGCCGTAAGTTGAGCGCCATGGATAGCTGGTGTTGTCCACAGCAAATGCCTTATTTTTCGGATTTTGCTTAATTGCACTCTGTTGTATTTTTTCAAAACTATTGTAGGAAATTAAAGGATCCTGCAGTGTATGTGTTTCACAACAGAAAATTCATTAGTAATTTTCGAACTAATTTGTATATACAATCCTCATTCAAAAATCAGTGGAGACAAACGAATCGACAATTTAATAGATATATTCATCATAAATAACGTTAAATGCTTACAAAAGAAAAGAGAACAAGCGAACAAATGATATAGGCCTCAGCTCCACTCCTACAGGCAGATCAACTGAGGTATAAGTTAAACGTCGTCTTCTTCGGAAAACTTATCCAACTGAGGTTTGATAATTATTACAATCTGTGTATATGGAATACTCCATAAGCCACACAACAAATTTGCAAGTGCACATGGATATAAAGGATCATTTGCAAAAGCAGCATTTAACAAATACTCCATTTGAGAGTAGTAAAACAATATAATAATTAATTAACAACATTAACCAACCACTGAATAACACACCAATGCTGCACAGGCCCAAACCATCTCTGAACAACCAAACACGGTTGCATTGATCTATCTTCATTCCAGAAGCTAACAAGTTATCTATTTTTATAGTACTTAACATATATTCATCCATATATTTTGCTTTAAAGTGTAACATAAGTTTGTTTCGTGATTAGTACTAATAAACCATAACTTTTTATCATTCTTTCTCTACCTTACTCATCTTACTATGCAAATCTTAGCCAACAACGACCTAATATTTCATCTACAATCCATGACAGAGTCTACTTAATTTATTTCTCTCCAAACATGATTTGGCAAAATCACTTAGTAATTCCTATAGTAAAGTGAGGGGAATCACCTAGTTTAAAGAAATTGAATTCCCAATCCATTGTACTAAATTGGTAGGAAATAAGATCAAAAAATATTTGGTAGTAAATTCCTAGCATTCACTAACGATGAAGACATCCACGTACATATAGAGTGCAAGCCAGTAGTAGATTTATTAAAAATAGTTGATAAATGGCTGTTGATAGAAAATTAGGATAAAAAATTTCGCAAATTTCTAACCTAAAGATTTACATCGCAATTTGTGCTCCGGCAATCCCAACTCTTTCTACTCCAGCTCCGAAGATTCCTTTCCCCCATCTCCGGCAAGCCTATGGGACTAGCAGCAGCCTGACAAGTTAGTGTTTAGTGTGTCAGGTTGGTAAGGTGGGAGGAGGAAGATGGGGAAAACCACCAGGCTTACGGGGATGACCATGAGAGGCAACGGCTTGGCGGTATGCAATGGACACGGACAGGTGACAAGGCATTAGTGGTTGCACTGGAGCCGTGGGAATGAAGGAGGGTTTGGGCCATCGTTGGGGCGTGGACAAACCGGAGCATGTGTTTATAAGAATTAGGCGGTGGCAGCGGATCCAGTGGCAGGGAACCATTGGAGAAGGGGAAAACGAAGGGGCGGCAGAAGCGACGAAGGCCGACCAAGAAGGCCTTCACTACTAGAAATCCCAACATTAATGACCAGCAGAAAATTGTAATCCTCGTTATCCTCTGAATACGAGTGGTGAGGAGCTGATTTTCTAATCCGACGACCACTAAATAGCTCGTCGTTAAAATTTGCTGCTACACGGTCATTAAAATTGACGTGAAGGAGGCCCATGACTCCACAAAACCACCACCATCCATCCCAAGCACCAGCAGCCCAACCCACTACACAAGCCACCGAGGGTTTAGGGAGACCTCCTCCAATCCGTGACGGTAGCCGCCGCCTACCCCAACTGCGTCGCTGGCTGCCTACCTCCTGCCGCGCCTGCACTGCCGGCCGTCGCCTCTAGTTCCACCTGCGCCATCTAGCCGCCACCACTGCGCAAGTGAGCACAAGTGAGGCTGGGCGCTGCAGGGGTGCACCTCGCCGTCGAGGGGATCAGAGGCCGGCTGGATCTTTTGATCTGCCCATGTCGACCCGATGACCCCAACATCATCTCCACGTCACCACCTATTCTCCTCGCTAGTCGCCGCCCTAATTGGTATGCTTGAAAATCCCTACCGATCTGCCCTGATTGATGATTGATCAACATCCCGAACCCTGTATCCAAAATTAGTAACTTAATTTGTGCTCAAGCGTGACGAATTGTGATGGCAGGGAGGTGTTGCACGGCAAAAACTGACGCACAGGGCTTGTCAGCAGGTGGGAGCATGGTCTTGAGTTAGTTCTTTTATACTGCAAATTATTGTTTTTTGCAGGATAGTGTAGATATATACTGATTGCTTTATTTTATCTACAGTTACTAGATTATTGTCTGGTAGCATCGTAATTTTTTCGGAGACATCTTGATGTACTAAAGGATTTCAAGAGAATGTTTTTTTTATGAGAACTCGAGATAATTGAATAGCAATGGAGAGGCAGCTTGATCTGGCAAGAACTGACGGGTGCAGTACTACACAAGACAGTAACCTCTTTTTTATGCCTTTTTCCATTCAACAAAATTCATGTTACATAACCGATTGAATGATCTTGGACACAAATAATGGGAGCATCATTTTGTTCTCAGATTATTCTATTGGTTATATATTTTGACATTTTCAGTTCAAATCTATTTTAGTAGGAACCAAGATGAATACACTCCATTGGCCTGACTAAATTATAGTCAGGTAGTATTCCAAGTTTTCATTAGTTCCTACAAGATCGGTCATTGATGGGCTTGATTTTTTGCCCGCAAGGCCACAACAAGTTGGATGCAACACAAGAGCTATTTCCATATCTGTAAAGCTATTGCTGACACACTATCTAAATTGGTACGAGCTACTGTACATTGTGGGTTAATTACTCCTTTTATTTATTTGTTAGTTTTCTTCAGGTTAATTACTCCTTTTATATCATTGCAAAATATAAATGTAGTAAAGCTCTCTAAATTTACAGGAATCATATGAAACTAGATGGTGACAAAGCATTCCTCATTCCTTAAACAAAATTTCTGGTAAGTTCAGTTTCTTTTCGGAATAAGATATTCATTTATATTACTACTACAAAACATAAGCAATTACTCATTCCTTAAACAAAATTTCTGGTAAGTTCAGTTTCTTTTCGGAATAAGATATTCATTTATATTACTACTACAAAACATAAGCAATTATTTGAACATCACCTTTTAGGTTTAAATTTTACCAGTCTTCGTTTATGCAAATTATTCTATTGCACTTTATTTTCTCCATGGTCATGCAATTATTCTATGAATAATATCAAATGTGCACACAACATGTCTGCAAATATTGGCTCTTCTCAACATCATATCAAATTTTTTACACTGAATGGAAGTGATGTGTCATTAGAAAGACATCATAAGAGATAAACTCATGTGCCTTAATGAATTTTATGTATGAAGTGCCATAGCTTGTTAAATAGCTAATATCATTTTTGTAAGTTGTATAGGATCAATGGTGAGACAGATGAGACTGGTGCATCTGAAGACAATACCTGCGAATGTTGATGGGATCATCATCGTATAACAAAGGAATTTGTCCACTACACCTCCAAGCACATACTTATAGATCGAGTGTTTAATTTTGATAGACATCAAGATGTTGGTTCTGTTTGAATGACTTAATTATTTAGCTGGATGCGGTGAACAAATTTTTATTATGTATTGCAATGAATAAATGTGGTTGATTGTCTACAATTGGTCAGAACATAATGTAAATGTTATATCCATATGGTGATAAACATGGATGTTAATTCCAAGAGCCAGTGCAGACTGCAATTATGTTTCTCTACTATCAACAATAGTGTACCGTGTTGTGTACCATGTGGTGATTAAAAATTGGATGTTAACGGAGGTGGTTAAAAATTAACAATGGCGCAATACTATCGTCGTTAAATAACTAACGATGACACAATATTATGGTCGTTAATTAGAATTAACGATGGCAAAAGAACACGGTCGTTAATAAGATAACGATGGCAAAAAAGCACCATCGTTAATGAAATAACGACGGATAAAAATCGTTTGGTCGTTAAAACTATTAACGACGGAGCCTTTAACGACCACTGATGACCACAAACTTAGTGGTCGTTAGTGACTTTTAACGACCACATTTGGACTTTTAACGACCAAATCTCCCATCGTTAAAAGTCGTTTCCCTAGTAGTGCTTATCTGCGTCGTTGACACTTTCAGATTAGCCTACGAGGCAACACATACGCGCGCTCACTCGGGAGTTCTGGCGGCACTTAGGAATGACGAGAAAGGAGAGGAGGGGTTAGGGTTAGAGGTGTGGTAGACGAATCTTGAAGCAATAAAAAACCCATGAGTTTTTTTAAAAAAAAATGAGATGTTTTTCTGTCGGATGGTATATATCCCGTCCCCTTTTTTAAACAGCCTTCTGTCACTGAAATACCATCGGCATGTTGCTTTAAACATGTCCTTCGCAAATAAAGTACAGGGTCCCCATCTAGACAGCGACAACACATGTCTTAATAATTTCCAACAACGGGAGCAGGTATACGGAAACGGAAGAGAAGGAAAGAAGAAGAGACACTGATGCACCTACTAGCAGACAGTTAATTAAACCTAACCCACAAGCATCTACTACTAGCTAGCTATTGCTATAGCTAAGCTAGGTACAGATCACTCGAACTCTTGAAGGCTTGAAGCCGCCGGCCCGAAGTGATACACATGGAGTCACTGTCATGCCGCTAGCTGCTACTGGCTCCTTAACAAATTTAATGGCCTCTGGGACATACGGGCCGTGGGCATTAGTTGGTGACGGCGACGACGATACATACGATGCATTGAACGGAGATGGCAGCTGGCCGGGGGATCGATAAATAGAGATCGATGATCGTCGATCAGGTGGATGATCCGTCGCTGCCGCGTGCGTAGGAACCTGTCCTACTCCCATGACCCATCTCTCGATCTCTGGCCGATTCAGTGGCGCCTCCGCGCTCCGGTGTTTCGCGGCCCCCATCCGATCCCCCCAATTCCACGGATGTAACTAGTACTTACAGGCTCCCTTCATTTTAAAATATAATAGAAATTCAATATCAGATTAAATAGTACTGTGAACGATTTTTATTCAGATTCGGATGCAGACGAGTGAGTACTACGTCAACATGCTCGCTGGCCCTGCTTCGAGAGACATACGGGCCGTTGGATTACTAGCTTAATTAAACACACCGTCCGGGTTAGATGCCTGTACATGTACAAGTACAAGCAGTAGTCAAGCACGCACGTTGCTTAATTATCGCGTCTTGGACCTCTGTGTCGCAGGATGAGCCAGCTGGCCAACCAAGTAGCCAAACTAGAAGCAATTTTGCTATATATTTGGCGACAAATTTTCTCCCCAAAATTTAACAAATATAATTACAGTACAATCATAATGTAATTACACTGTAACTATAATGTAACTTGGATGTAACTTTAAAAAATCTCTCCGTAACATGTTATTTCGGTAAAATGGAGGTCGTGGGAAAAAATCCTTTCACATATGTGTGTGATGTGATTTTTTTTCTTCCTCACCAGAACAAATCTTGTAATAGATCTAACGATTCAAAATTACATGAAACTTACACACAAGTTACACTATATTTACATGCAAGTTACAGTGTAATTACATACAAGTTACAGTGTAATTACACTACGATTGTACTATAATTACATCTGTCAAATTTTTAGAAGAAAATTTGTCGACAAATGTATAGGTGGTCTACTAGCTTACGCTTAGCTAGAGTCATGGACCGCTAGATCGGTGTGAAGTGCTTGATGTGATGTCGATCTGTTAGAGCCATGGTATAACAAGGAATCATACCCAAACCAATTTTGCTATATATTTATCGATAAATTTTTAACTAAAAATTTAACATATGTAATTACAGTATAATCTAGTATAATTATACTGTAATTTACATATAATTACATTGTAACTATAATGTAACTTTCACGTAATTTTGAACCGTTAGATATATTTCAAGATTTATGCAAGTGAAGAAGGAAAAAAATCACTACACGTATACATGTGAAAGGATTCGTTCCCACGACCTCCACTTCACCGAAATAGCATGTTATGAAAAGATTTTTAAAAGTTGCATGCAAGTTACATACAAGTAACAGTGTAATTACATCACGAGTGTACTATAATTACATTTGTCAAATTTTTAAGAGAAAATTTATCGACAAATGTATAGGTGATCCCTACCTAAACTGTTTCCTATAAAATTCTATCAACACACACTTTGTTCTATATATATATATATATATATATATATATATATATATGTGGTGCTCTACCTGAAAATTAATTCATCTTTAGCCTCTATCCTTTATGCTTTTATCCCCGAAAAACCATCCATTCGCAAAATAGCGTTTTATTTCGATGAACTTTACTTACCCACCAATTTATGTACTACTGCTGCAGATCAGTTTTTGAGACTCGCCGGCATGGGAATGGGATGCGGACTCTCCTGTTCCCATACCTATCACCATCACCAGCACATACAGCATCGCCTCGCGTCGTAGGTGCCGTGAGGATGAGCTCCTCCTACTGCTCTCGCCTCGGCGCACTAGGAGGATGAGTTCCTTCCTGCTGCTCCAGGCGCTGGGAGGATCAGATGAGGTCTTCCTACTGCTCTTGCTTAGGTCGTGTCAAGGGAAGCTGTAGCCGAGGGAGGACTGGGAGCGTTCATCATCATGTATACCATCGTGGCCAATGAAGGAAGGGGGAGCGCCGGTGCCATCGCTATCAAGGAAAACCAGCACCAACACCATTGTCGCCAAGGGCCAAGAGAGGATAGGGGAGGAAACGTCCTTTCCATTGCTTGTTCACAACAGATTTGAAACCCTGAGATCTCTGGCCAGCATATTTGGCATTGCCTGAGCTCGTTGTCATCATATTAACCATCTTCATCCCTTGTTCTCTCACCGTCTTAGCTCTGATTTGATAATCAATAGGTATCGGTTGATACATATGGGTACCAGGCTTGGTACCGATAGGTATAAGCTAGGTATCCATCAGTATCAGCCTAGTACCAATAGGTAGCTGCCGTTACCGATAAGGTACCAATTGGTACATAATGTGTATCTATTGACGGTCTATACCGATAATGATATTTTAGGAGTATAGGGGATGTTGGTACTAAGGTATATTCGAGAATGCTATAAAAGAAACGGGAGATAGGGATTTTTATACTGGTTAAGGTCCCCAATATGGGTAATAACTAATCCTAATACAATTTATATGAATAGTTTTGGAATGTATCACACTTATGACAAAGGTGGAATTAGCTAGCTAATCTAGCATACCAACTAGTATTCATCAAGAACTAATCCGGCGACTTGAAGTTGGTGGTTAGCTATTGATTTTCTCCTGACTGGTCTTCTATGTGGTTCGTGGCTCTGGCTTATGATTCTATATATGCCCTTACTTCCTGGAGGACTATATATTTATATGGTAGGCAACTTTCTATCCAAGTAGAACTTGGAGAGTTCATGTGAGATACCGGCAAATAAGACCTTGCCTTCCTCCTGTCGGAGTTTGATACCTTCTATTTTCAAGGAAGGAGTTTACCTTCTTATCTGCTATATTCCCCATATTTGAATACATCATTCCTTATAATATTAGATACGTGAAGTATATGAGATATGTCTTATCTGTAACACCGATAGCAATGGTCGGTACCTACGAGGTGTTAGTTGATACTTGATGGGTATCAGTTAGTACCTACGGGTACCAGATTTGATACCAACTGGTATCAGAATCTGATACCTGCATGGTATCATCATATCCGGACGGGATCATGTGGTATAGCAACCCCCTATATTAATATATATTTATTTAGAAGAATTTCAAAGTGGTCTCTACATTCCTCTGAACAAGCTCTCCTTTGGAAGAACTTCAAAGAACCCCTTTTAAGGAACTGAACTAAATACTATGAAAATCATGTAAATTTGTCATATTTCAAGGGATGCGTAGCTACATCTGACGTTGATCTAATGTCTATTATTTAAGAAAGATCCGGTCAAGTGTTGATGCTATATATTTGATAGAAAAAATCAGACTACATCAAAAATGAAAAGAAAACAGACAAAAAAAAAGCACATTGAGCTAATTATGTCAAAATGCATCCCTAATAATTCCGCAATGGACAATGACATGGACTTATGGAAACAGTTTCACCATTCGTCTTGCTCCTATAACCGAACCTTGCAAGTGGCGAATCCCCAAATTAAAGGGACACATTATTTATACAGTATCAATTTTTTATAAAAAAATATTAACTTTTTTATTGTAAATTGCACATATCTACATTATAAATTCCAAAACTTATATTATTATTTTTTACATGAACTACATAAGAGAATTAGGATAAAACAATTGATTACCTACTAGAAAGAGAACATGTAAGAAATTGTTTAATCAGTGGTGGGCGACGTGTCCATCGATAATAAGATGTTCATAGTAATGACTTTGTCAATCTCAAGAAATACTGGTCTAGTTCTTCGGATATGTTCATGTGGGTAGGGTGTACATGTGTACGTTTATAGGGATGTATGTGTACATGCTGTAAGCGGTTGCGTTTATAATGTGCTTCTCAAAATAAGAAACATATTTTTAAGAGAGAGGTAGTAATTACATAGAAAAAAAGTGGCTGAAATCAAGAAAAAAAATCGTGACACATTGATACTATATTTTTTGTAAAATGGTTCACAAAGTTTGGCTATCGGCAGGTGTTCTGATTTGCCAATTAAAATAGACGACAACATATTATATTAGGCCAATTCAGCCAACTAATATTGCAGCATTCAATTAACCCGAGCTCAGTCTAGACTCTAGAGTCTAGACCTACCACTCTCTTTCTATCTCAATCCGTCCTTGTATCACTATCACAATAAATTTCGGATCACACTTACAATTATGCACACAATAAATCATTCGATGCATATCTGAAACCAAATAACATAAATATTGTACCAACACCAGATCTCTGCTGCAACAGATGTGTTCTCTTCACTGTTAACTACCAGTAGCCAGCTATTTGCTATTTTCTCCGTCCTAGCTAAAATATAAGTATTTTTAAAGTTAGATACAACAATTAAGAAAATAGGTGAAAATGATTATGAAAATAGTATGATCCGTTGAGAGGAGAAAATAGTTAGTACAAAAATTAAGTAGTGAATAGTGATAAACGGTTAAGATGGGATAATAAGTTATATGACAATTAAGAAAATATGTGAAAGTGATTATAAAAATATTGGGATCGATTGAGAGGAGAAAATAGTTATAAAAAAATAAGCGGTGAATAGTGATAATTGGTTAAGGTGAGATTATATAATAGGTGACAAAATAGTTTTACTTTTGAATAAAATTTAAATGATAGAATTAATAGCTTTACTTTAAAACGGTGAGAGTACAACATGCCTTTCATGCGGTGAGAAGTGGACGAACAGTGGCCCAAGAGCAGCAGAAGTCATAAAGTTTCCCTCTTTCATACCACCGTTTTCTTCGGATGCTGATGAGAGGTCACATAACATGAGTAGATGACAAGACATTATTAGCTGCAACAAAACAAGATACTCCTCCGTCCCAAAATAAGTGTAACAATTAGTGTCTTTATCTAACTTTAATCGTCCATCTTATTTAAAGGTTTTTATGATTAGTGCTTTTATTGTTATTAGATTATAAAATATGAATAATAACTTATGTTTTTTTAGTTTTTCAAAAAAAAGTAAATAAGACGGACGATTAAAATAGAACATGGCTATGCTTATTTTGGGACTGACTCTACTACTCGCTCGTTACAAGGTTCAATGTATGTTGTGCAGTCGCTTCAGTGTCGTCCACAATACAAAAAGACCTTCACGTACGTAAGCTGCTGCACCTCCACGTGGTGAAAGAAAAATAAAACACAAACCTAAAATATCCTGAATTTGTTGATGCGGTTAATCCCAACAAGTCAATGAGCACTGATCCAAACCCAAACCCTTTTGATTTATTAATTAATTAACCCTCTTGTGGAAGGATAATACTTAATTACATTTTCCTCGTGGATCTCTTCACTAACTCTCCTCCTACTACCAGATAAATGCCTGCAGTGATGGTTGAGACTTGAGAGCTTCAGAAAAGCCATCGACAACATTCAGAGGAGTAAAAGGAAAAGACTTACCTAACTGCTAAACACTTAGCTACTACCACTATATGTACAAAAAAAGAAGCTAGCCCCAGACAATTAATCGGCGGCGGCGACGAGGAGGACGACGACCTCATCGTGGCTCGATGACGGTGATGGAGACGTCGTTGACGGACACCGGCGAGGCGGTGGAGTCGGTCTTGGTGGTCATGAGCGGCGGGGCGAGGAGGAGCGCCCTCCGGAGCCTGGTGAACATGGGCGGCCTGGAGGGCTCGGGGAGGTTCATGTGGTCGCTGATGAGGGCGAGGAGGACGTTGGACATGGTGGGCCGCGCGTCCGCGTCCTCCTGCACGCACAGGAGCCCCACGTGGTAGCACCGCCACGCCTCCTCCGCCGCGTACCCCCGCCCCAGCGCCGGGTCCATGAACTCCGCCGCCAACCCCTCCGTCCACAGCTTCCACGCCTGAAAATTAATTAAGTTTATGACCGAGTTTCAGAGCTTGCTTTACTTTGCTTTGAGACCGATCCAGATCAATCCATGCATGGTGCCTGATATATATGGGAGGCAATGTATGCTACTATCTCCATTTCGCTTTTTTAATTTATTTATTATTTATTTTATAATGATTTAATTTATCATAAAATATTTTTAAGCATAATTTATATGTTTTTATGTTTGTATAAAATTTTTAAATAAAATATATTAAGGGTTAACAACATCATCTATTTAAAAAAACGAAGAGATTACTATACATACGTCTTGGATGAGGGATTGCTGGTGCTCCTCGAGGTAGAGCGCGCCGTTGCGCTGGCCGCTGAGGATCTCTAGCAGCAGCACGCCGAAGCTGAACACGTCAGACTTCACCGAGTAGACGCCCTCCAGCGCGAACTCCGGCGCCATGTACCCACTACAAGATTAAATTTGTGACATTTTAAAACTTGAGTACAAATCGATAGGAAAAAGAGGAAAAGTTTTTTTTTTTTTTGATGAACTGAACTTTGGGTGGGGGAAAGCATAAGGTGAATGAACGTACTAGGTGCCGACCACGCGGCCGGTGTTGACCTCGTTACACTCGTCCTCGAAGATCTTGGCCATGCCGAAGTCGGAGATCTTGGGGCTCATCTTGTCGTCGAGGAGGACATTGCTGGCCTTGAGGTCTCGGTGCACCACCTTCAGCAACGAGTCCTCGTGCAGGTACAACAATCCCCTCGCGATCCCCACGATGATGTTGTGCCTCGTCGCCCACCCCAGCTGCGCGCTCTTCCCCTCGTCTGCAACAAAATTCACCCATATGTCACTGATTGTTACTCCCTTCCGTCTCAAAATATAAATATTTTTAACTATGATTTATTATATTTCGAAACAGAGTTAGTAGTTGTTAATGCACGGTCAAAAAAAATTGCAAGCTTTAGTTAACAGCCATATCAGATCTTGATTAATTAGGACGATCTAGTTAGCTAGCTAGCGTAATTGTCAGTATTCTAGGACGGCCATGTGAGTATGTGAGAACAGTGTTAGTGGTGGTGGGTTACTGTTGATCCGTGGATGTGGATCGATGGGCGGATTAATTGCTTGGTCGCTGGAGATCAATGGCGGATTAATTGCTCGTACGGTGGGATATTGATGGCGCGAGCTCAGAGCCGCTGGATTTTCCAACTACCGTGACCGAGAGAGAGAGAGGAGACAGCGAGACCACCAGCCGTGACCGTGGCAGCAGCAATGGCGGCGCGGCGAGAAGGAGGAGGAGAAGAAGAAGAAGAGGGCGAGGCGTACTGAAGAGGAAGGCGTCGAGGCTGCCGTTGGGGAGGAACTCGTAGACGAGGAGCTTCTCGTCGCGCTCGGCGCACCAGCCGAGGAGGCGGACCAGGTTGCGGTGCTGCAGCTTGGCGATGAGCTCCACCTCGTTCCTGAACTCCGCCGCGCCCTGCCTCGACCTCGCCGACAGCCGCTTCACCGCGATCTCCGCGCCGCCGCCGGGGAGAACGCCCTGTTCCACCGGTGGTCAGCTCATCAATGGAGAGGAGAGAGGAGGAGGATGGCGTTTCGTTACCCTGTAGACGGGGCCGAAGCCGCCCTCGCCGAGCTTGTTGGCCTTGGAGAAGCTGTCGGTGGCGGCGTGGATGGAGGCGAGGTCCATGAGCGGCAGGTCGGAGCTCGACATCGGCCGAAGCCTCTCCATCTGCGCCCTCCTCACAGCTGAATCATCCAACCAATCCAATTCGATCCATCAGGAGGGGATCGAGGGAGAAGAGAAGCGGAGGAGGAGGAGAAGCTGACCGTTGCGCTTGCGCCATCGCCAGCAGTAGACGCAGTAGAGCAGCGTGCAGAAGATGACGACCACCAGCACGGACACCATGATCTTCATCGCGTCCTTGCTCGACCCGCTTTTCCCTGCACACCACCACCAACCCAACCTCATCGCGATCCATCAGCCATACCATCAAACGAAGAACCAACCACCACCAACTGATTGCTCACCTGCGTCGTCCTCCCCCGCCGGCGCCGGAGCCGACGACGACGACGCGCCCATCAGCCGGCGGTGGTGCCCGCCGCAGCCGCCGCTCCACCGCTCCCCGGCCACGTCGTACATCCTAGCTAGTATCTCTCGCTTGCCAGCTCACTCAGCTGATCGATGCTTCTTGGCTAGGGAACAGATCGATCAGAGGGGCAAACTGAACTGGAGAGGAGGTGGGAATGGGAGGGATGAGTGGGGAGATGAAGAAGCGAAGAGGCGGCGATGGCGACGACGACGACGGCGACGGCGGCAGCTGACAAGTAGTTGCCAAGTGAGCCCAGCCTCCTCACCTCTCCACTCCACCTGCCGTGCCGTGGTGCCACCATGTGGATGTGGCGCGCCTGCCTCCCTTTTTGTTCTGTCCTGAGGTTACCGGCAGTCGGCGGACGCTTTTTTGACCGCCCAGGATAGAAATGCCCAACACGACTTGCTCCAATGATACTACTCGCATCTAGAATTAGTTCATCTTTAGTTCCTTTAATTTATCTTAAAATAAAATTATTCTATAATAATTATTTGAAAACTAAAAGAATAAATATACTATTGTTGTGTTTGAGAGAAGCCAAGAAGAGATTAAGAAGATACGCAAAACGAGATGGGCTATTAACGCATAATTAATTCAGTATTAATTATTTTAATTTCGGAATAGCTATCCATCTCCTGACAGATTTGTATGGCTTATTCTTGTTTTTTTTTCTGTCGGATGTATTTTAAATTCACGCCACACTGAGATTCGTGCATGGCATGAGAAAAAAAAAACTCTTATACGTACCATGACTCGAATCCGTGATTTTTAACTCATCCCTTTTACTGAGCTAACTTATTTTTATGAGTACAGTGCACAGGCGGTACTTAAACTTGTAGCGGTGTGTCATCTAGATCCTTAAACTCTCAAAATACATATCCAAGTCCCATAACTTATCATAATGTATCATCTAGATCCCAAATCACCATATCCCCTTCAGGATCCTATGTGGTGCTGATGTGGCATGTCACACGGACACGACGTGGCATAATTTTGACTGACAAATGGGACCCATTTAGAAATTTTCTTTTTTCTTTTTTTCTTCTATTGTATTTTCCTTTCTTCTCCTTTCTCTGTGACCCAAGCAGAAGAAAGGAAAAAAGAAAAATGAGAAGAAAATGGAAAAGAAAAAGAAAAGAAGAAAAAAAAGGACACGTCACGTACATGTGGCAGGTCACATCAGCGCCATGTAGGATCCAACAGGAGATGTGTCGATTTGGGACTTAGATGATACACTTTGACAAGTTCTAGGATCGATATGCACTCTGAGAGTTTGGGGACCTAGATGAAATATCGCTACAAGTTTAAGAACCGTCCGTTCGTGTACTTTACTCTATTGTTATAGTTACATATAGTTTACACCTAAATTACATTTGTAATTATATTACATGCTAGTTATAATTACACTATGATATGAAAGATTTTTTGTAGTATTTTCAGTCGCATGTTGGTTAGGCAGTTCCTATATTTTAGGCGGAGTAAGGGCGTACAATAAAAAAAATCCGGCAGACCAGAAAAATGTAGTACAAAAATATTATGTTTGCCAACGTACGTTGGACTCGGAATGATTGAAGTCTAACACTGAATCCAGTGGAATATTACTGTTAAGAGGAGAAATATTATGCTTCCAGAAGGCTGGGTACAATTCCATGGCCATTTGTTATTTTTCGTGGGCTTCTCGAATCTGGACAGCACGTGCGAAAGCAAGTAAGCAACCCACTCCACGACTGTATAAATTCAGAAGGGAACATCATCCCAATCTTGCCAATAACCAAGCTGTCTCATATACTATTATTATTAAACGGTGACTACTGGCCAGTAGCGGCTAGAAGATGGATAATTTCTAACCTTTACTTAAAATATATACTCCCTCCGTTTCACGATGTAAGTCGTTCTAGTATTTCCCATATTTATATTGATGTTAATAAATCTATTAACATCAGTATTTCGCTTTAAAAAATCTAGTAAGTACTTTTAGCGTTTAAATCTATCTATCTATCTATCTATCTATTATATACTAAAAGTCCATTAAACTTCCTACAAGCGCTCTCAAGCCGCCACGTGGCACTTCTACAAACGCTCCTAGACCGCCACGTAGTAATGCCTAATCTCACCGTCGATTTTCACTTAAATCGGTGGACCCGAAAATTTGGACCATTAGATTAGATTAGATCTATTTTATTTAAAAAGAAACTAATACCTTACCGTTGGCCCAAAAAAAAGTAAGAATTCCATAAGTACGTACGTACGGCTTAAAACAATAAAACTCAAATACTGTTCATCGGTTCCGGTTCGCTGGGAAAATAAATATAAGTACGTAAGATCAGGAAAGAGCAATCGAGCTTATGCTGCTAACCTACGAGGCTACGATTCGTCAGGAAGGAAAAAACCATGCCAGCGTATTTACGATGAAAAAATTTAAAGCAACGTGTAAACAAATAAAGCCAAAAAATAAACGTACGTAGTACCATCGAAATAAATCGAAAATAGAAACGTATGTAGTTACTAGAAAAAGCTCGTGCGTTAAAGCTATTTTAATTTTATTATTAGTGTACGGTTTAGATAGAGTGAAATTGACTGGGGGAATTTGCTTAGATATTCTTTTTACAAAATCACGAGCTACAATTATAGGACTGATCGTCTTAAATTAGCATGCAAGTTTTTTAAAGTGATTTCTTATATGACTCCCGTATTTGTAAAAACAAACAAAATTAAAAACCGACTCAAACACGGACCTGTATTTCTAAAAAGCGATTGAACTTAAAAACTGACTCAAACACAGATGACGTATCAAAGTACCGGCAAAAACATATTCAATCTATCTATCTATGATATACTAAAAGTCTATTAAACTTACTACAAACGCTCTCAAGCCGCCACGTGGGACTCCTACAGATGTTCCGATATCGCCACACGGCAATCTAATAAATTGGTGGACCCATTATTTCTAACTATTAGATTTATGTTTAAAAGAAAAAAAAGACCCCATAACCCACCTCCCTCTTCTCTTCCCACACCAGCCCGTCTTTTAAATTGGTGGACCCATTATTTCTAACTATTAGATTTATCTTTAAAAGAAAAAAAAGACCCCATAACCCACCTCCCTCTTCTCTTCCTGCACCAGCCCGTCTTTCAAATTTGTGGACCCATTATTTCTAACTATTAGATTTATCTTTAAAAGAAAAAAAAGACCCCATAACCCACCTCCCTCTTCTCTTCCCACGCCAGCCCGTCTTTCCAATATGTACATACATATGTACATTCCTCCTCCCTCCCCTCCTATCGATTCTCCCCTTCTTTCCTTCTTTCTTTTCTTTAGTTATTAAAATTCTAAAAATTAATAAACTTTAAATAAAAATAATTTACCAAAAAAATTTAGTCATGACTTTTAAATAGATATAAATCTATTTCTTCCGTATTACTGTTTCCGTTAAATAAATTAGATCTACGATGTAAAAAATAAAAAATAAATAAAATGTTAGTAACATAAAAAAATATATCCTGACCTTTTGCCATGCCATCCCAACGATTAAAAGGTCTATGAAGAAAATAGATGATATAGATCATATCATCATATATCACTTAAAAAAGATAATTATATTATAACCGTAATATCACAATATAAAATAATTTAATTCTAATAGTCCCTCCAAAAAATACCTCCTTTATAATGTTATCTTTTTATGAAACAAAATAATGTTAATTAAATCTATCATGAAAGTTATTTTGACATTATTATATGTTTAATATTCAAAGCAATCTACGGTATCGCAAAATAAAATATTTTAATTGTGATTAGCATTTAGAAAAAATATTATCATCATTCTAAAATATCAATATCAATATGTACAAACAATCTTAATAAATCTGTCAGAAAAAAAAGACTATGATACCCCTTATTAATTAAAAAGTACGTATATGGTGAGAAGGTGGTTAGGGTAAGATTGGGTAAACAATAAATGTTAGTTGTTTGGATAGGACAAGTAGTACTACTCTAAAATCCCTTATATTTTGAAACAAAATTTAACTTTCTCAGATTTATGTGACGGGGTATAAATCTATCTTTAATTAGATGACATAGTTCTATTAGCTATATGCTTAATAGAAAATCTTAAATAAATTTATCCTAAAATCTACATAGAAAGCATAAACGCAATTATTACTTAAAGTTTAGAAATACCCATAGTACAAAATATATATAGTTTCATAGTAATCAACTTCATGGTGGAGACACAATATTTTCTCATAAATTCAAAGTTGCATGCTTTCACACAATTTTAGTTTACAATCTTTTATGCTGCAATGGTAATTAGAAGAATATCGATCATAACCAACATTTAAAGCAATCCCAAATAAATTCGAATAGAGTAGAGATGATATTTCAATAAAAAAATCACCTACACATGAACATTTGTAATAAAATTTCAAACAATTTAACAAGATGCCCACGCATGTGCGCGGGCTACCTTCCTAGTTTTATCCTAAAATATAAACACTTTAAACAATACCCACCCATCAGAACACTATGCATTAGCTCAAAGTACAATCTTACCAACAGATCACTTGATGGCTGCTAAATTAAGAACCAAACAACCTGATGCTAGAGGTAGATCATGGCCTTTCTTCGACCGGAGCTGATGGCAAAGAACACCCACTAGTACAGATCCTTCTATCTGTGACGAGCTCTAACATGCCTGGAAATAGCGGACCGTCACAAAAAAATCATCTCAATCGGGCTAAACAAGTGCCCGATTAAGATATGGTCGCACAGACATATTAGATGGACAGATGACACCTATCAGTGACGGGCCGTAGTTTAGACCCGATTGAGATAACATTCCATATCTCAAACGGGCTTGAAGTTGGGGCCCGTCACAGATGACCATCACCCGTGACGGGCACCAACTTTAGGCCCGATTGAGATAACATTCCATATCTCAAACGGGCCTTAAGTTGGGGCCCGTCACGGATGACCATCATCCGTGACGTGCACCAACTTAAGGCCCGTCACAGATGACTCATCAGTGACGGGCTATATACTAATCCCCGGTTGACATGACTTAATCACTTAATCTCTATTGGGCATTAATTAAAGCCTGTCACCGATGAGTATTTTTCCATTTTTCATATGAAATGTTTATATTTGTAAGTTGAACTATAGCAAAATAATTAACTTGCAGTATAATAATTCATTTTACGAGTCAAAATAATTTTACGGGTAGTAAATAATATCAAATGGAAAAGTCATCAACAACAAAGTTGTATAACTCATTAAGATTTATAACTTTTATTTTGGTCATTTTTCTATATAATATT